GACACGCGTGGGCGTGAATGCTCTGAACTTAGGTTCAAGAAGCATTAGGCCTTAAAGAAAGCCTCAGAGTTTCCTCCTCCTGCTGCCTGACTTTCCATGAAATTTGCCGTGATTGGGAGCGGGCAACTCTGGGCAGCACCAGCAGCACACTGAGGATCGCCCTCCCTGAGGGCCAGCTAGGAAGGAGGAAAGCATAGAAACGGTGCTTGCAAAAACCTGGCAAATATTTCTGTAATTTTATCTTGACAAGGATCGCATGTCACCCGAACCTCTTAGCAGACACGTTGTTCCCTACCCTTCACGTGTTCTGGCAAGGCTGTGCAGAGCTTGCTGCTTGGCTGGGGCTCCCTTGCAGCATGGCTACCAAATCCAGGCTTGCCTTTGCCACACAGGAGGAGTGGAAGGAGAAGGCTCAAGGAAAATGTTCCTTCTTAGGCAAAATTTTAAAAAGAAATTTTCAAAAGACAAAGGTTTTTTCTGTGCCCAGTTTTCACAGGTAAGTTGGAGAATTGATTTTCTAGCAGAACTTTCCCTGTGCCAGTTATTTATAGCTTTATTGCTATACAGAAACCACCATAAGGGCTGTAAAAGGTGCACTTGGATTGCATGCTGGGGTGAGGTTGGGTGCAGTGATAGAAGAAAACTACGTTGACCTAATGTAGAGTTATGTGAGTGTGGAAGGGAACAGGTTCCCCTCTATTTCCAAACCATGTTTTCTGTTTACATTCCCAAAAATGTACACAGGAACTTCCAATAAACTAAACTTAAATTTTCAAATTGAGCATGACTCTGCAGATCCCCCAAAAGAGAAGTACCATCTGGAGAATATTCATAATTTAGCAATTATTAAGCAATATTTTTATATGTACATATATGTATATAGTACATACATCCATATAAATACAGCTAGATAAACAAGAACCTGCCTAGGTCCTTTCAGCAGCATAGGGCAGTAACCCAAGCAGCTTTTGACATTAAGCAGCCTGAGCATCTCAATATCTCAATTCCATAATCTGTTAATATTGATGAAGTCCTCCTAATAAGTACTATTGCAGTTGGGCCTCCGAGAAGGGCAGCTCCATGTGCCTTCCAGGAGGCTTAGAGAATGGATGGAAGAAGTGTGCAATTTTCTTCACCATGTGTATAAACATGGCCGTGTTCTGTTGTGAATGCAATTTCACTGCTACAGAATATCTTTAACCCAGGACAGCTGTAACCATGTTAGCGCAGTTGGCCCAGTCTGCCCATGTGCTCTGGGCCATGGATGGTCTCTGGTAGCCATAGCACAGCAGCGAATGCTGGGACTGCTGCGTGAGGGAAGCAGGAAGACCATCGCTACCAGAAGGTGATTTTAGTAATCCTTTGCTTGTGAAAACTGGCAGCAGTTAAGGGCTGCGCATCATTCAGAAGACGGCATAAGAAGAGCAACCCCTATAGAAACTGAACAAACTGTTGGACACAGACCTAAGCATTTGGAATACTAGTTTGAAAAATACCATGTCATATGCAAGTGAATCTTTTAATCTTTCAGTGTGGAAATCAAATCAGATTCTGGCCTTGCAAGGTCATTGAATGTATCCTATAATTATCTTATTACACAGAATCACAGAGTGGTTGAGGTTAGAAGGGACCTCTAGAGATCATCTAGTCCAACCCCCCTGCTCCAGCAGGGACACCTTGGGCACAGGGTGGCATCCAGGCGGGTTTGGAAGATCTCCAGAGGAGACTCCACAACCTCTGGGCAGCCTGATCCAGGGCTCTGTCACCCTCACAGGAAAGTTCTTCCTCATATGGAGATGGAACTTCCTGTGTTCCTGTTACCTCTTGTCCTGTCACTGGCCACCACCAAGAACAGTTGGCCAAGATCGTAGGCCCCATCCTCCCTACATTCTCCCCTCAGGTACTTGTACATATTGACCAGATCCCCTCTCAGTCTTCTCTTCTCCAGACTAAACAGGCCCAGCTCACTTAGTCTTTCCTCAAAAGATGGATGCTCCAGGCCCTTAATCATCTTTGTTGCGCTACACTGGACCCTCTCTAGAAGCTCAATGTCCCTCTTGCACTGGGGAGCCCAGAGCTGCACACAATACTCCAAGTGCGGCCTCACCAGGGCTGAGGGGCAGGATCCCCTCCCTTAACCTGCTGGCAACGCTCCTCGCGATGCAGGCCAGGATCCCATTGGCCTGCTTGGCCACGAGGGCACATTGCTGACTCACGGGTAATTTGTTGTCAGCCAGGACTCCCAAATCCCTCTCTCAACGAGCTGCTTTCCAGCAGGTATTATTACTAGGGCAGAGATATGAAATGTCTGTGCCTTGGCTTGAATATATTATTTGCAGTAAAAAGTCCCAAACAATTTAATGAGATGGAGAAGTGGGCAGGGGGAGTGGGCTGGGATACAGTGTACTTTTGCTTACTGCCTTAGCCATCTAAAAAAAAAAAAACACCAAAAATGTTTTGACGCTGCTTTCTGTTTAGATTGTTCATAATACAACACCTATGATAAAGATAATACCTGTTCTGATCTAGAGGAAAGGAATTTTGTCATATTCTGTGTGGCTATTTGGATGGATTTATGGGCTGCATATAGGCGATATTTTTTTTTTTAAAAAAAAAGGTCACTGGAAAATATGTATGCCTAAGAGAACATATATCACATTTTTATTATATAGCAATTTAATTTATGTAGAAATCCAGTCTTTTTAAAGAGGTTCTGCTCATTAACCTCCAAGTATCACAGCTGGGATGAGTAATGAAAATGAGTATCATTTTCATGACGTTTCAGGGACTTCAGTAGCCCTTTTCTAATATGTTAGTAAAAGAAAAGTCTCCAACTTCGGAATCTTCCAGGAACTGTTACATGCATACTTACACGTAAGATTAAGAACAAGTCCAACTAGTTTTTAGAGAGAAAAGCCAGCATTAATCATCTACCGAGATCCAAGGCTCCAGCACTGCTTATGATTTTAAGGGTTTCTCTACCCACCTCGCTAAGGGCAGTGAAAGTTTGAAATAAACACATAATGAACTCACAGTAAGAAGTTACATAACATGGCATTAAGGGAAAGTAAAATGAGCAGAGTGAAATTCTATGACCTGATTCACCAGTTACTAGCTCCAGGTCAGAGGTCATCAGTCAACAGAGCTAAGGATAGAGGAATGAGCTTCCTCCTCCTCCTTTTTTTCTCCTGTACTGTTTCTGAAAGCCTCTCTCATATTCAAGACAAGCTATTTAGTGAGGTATGTGCTTTTGTATGATACTTTGGTACACCTTATTCATTTTCTCTGAATTTCAGTTAAACATTGATCACCTTCCAGAAAATGCAACAATAGTTTTATTCAACATGCCCAAGAAATTATAAACATTTATTTACTCTCAACAGTCTAATGCTCAGAAAATAAACAAACAAACATTGCAAAATCCTGATTGCAGCACAGGATGAAGTACTGCAGAAAGGCACTGGACTACTGTGCCATATCAAGTGAAGACAGTACATTTTTTTTTTTCTCTCATCATAGGTAGAGAAAGGAAATGAACAAGCTGTGTTTCTTTATGCCACACAAACCAAGAAGAAATATATACTGCTTCTGTTCAAGGCAGTTCTCTTGCCACAACCCATTCTTAGGAGCAGAAGAGGACAGCCAGACCAAGGCCAAAACTACAACACCCAGGTATGTTATTTGAGGATACAAGGAAAATAAGTTTGTGAGACTACACATATGAACAACAAAAGTAGGCCTACAGGACAGAGTAAGAAACACATGAGATACAATTCCAACCACTGCCTTTTATATATCAACTTCTAAAGCAAAGTTCATGGGACCTACTATAAAGGTAGCATCTGCAAACCAAGTTTGACAGAGGCAGACACATAAATCAGGTTAACAGATGAAACTAAGACATGCCTACAAGAAACCAAGTTTCATTAGATTCTCAGTTGTTTTAATAGTGAAGAGTCCCATCTATAATTTGTAATGTCTTGGGCAAATGTAGGCCTTTAAGAACAGTCCATCTGCCCAGAAGTGCCAGTCAGATTCTACCACTCCTCCAACCAATGCGCAATGCACTATCTTGGACTCGACACAGGACCTAGAACTCAGGTGTCTTCTGCAGCACAGTTGAAGTGCAGTGCTTTGAGGAACACCACAAGCCCAGGTGGCCACCCAGCCAGCAAAGCTTACAGGGCCAAACCACTGCTAACAGGGCCCTGGCTGAGCTGGCCCTAGACAGCACAGAAACACGCTACCCAGGCCAAGTGTCACAGTGGCCCTTCCCAGTCTTTTTAGGCAAATGTCTTGACGAGCAAGCGTACTGCAGCACAAGAACATCCCTTCAAAGGCCTCAGTAAATGTTTGAGGTGAATATATTTGAGTCAGACAAGAGTAAGCAATTAAATTTTTATTCATGATGATTTATATATGAGTAAAATGCTCACCACAAAAATCAAAACTTTGACTTACTCAGTATTTAGCAGTGAAAACAGTCATCTTTTCGTTGTAAAGCACCAAAAAGCACATCACCAAACAGAGATCCCATATATGGGTTTTCCTCACAATGTACTATGACAAAGTTGAAGATCTCATACAAGTCAATGTTCCACAAAAAGTTCTAGAGTCACCTGAGTGCCTGGCAAGAACAGTATCATTTAGCAGCAATTACATTGCCTGTAGCGGAATTCACAGAGCACTTTATTTTTTTTTTTTTTTGCAAAAAGGTAACTTTTCACAAAATATACATCATTAGGTCATAATTGGGCTGAACACAGGGACCAATTATTAGTAATATGGTAATTTCTTTCAGTGGTAGCAGTTTGCCAGTAGGAGGCACCAGCAACAGGAAGAGATGTTAGGATGGTAGGAAAACTGAGCTCATTGTAGCCTGATTGGTAGAGCCTAACCACTTACAGGCACCTACAGCTATTACCTTACTCAACACTTTCTCTTAATTCGCATTTCAAACATACTACACTGAAAACAACAACTCTGAAGTTAACTTGTGAGCATGGACGAATGTACATAAGGTTTTGGTAGTCATTTAAAGCTGTAATTGATACGCAAAAAAGTTCTACAAACCCATTACAGATTAAAAAGAAATAACCAGAATCATGGTATTACATACAAAATATTCTAGCACAGAGATGAATACAGTTATCAATTCATTAGAGAATAAAATTGTTATAAAAAAGATGATGCCTTTTAATCACTTAAGAATAGCAAGTAAGAAGGCAACATTCAGAAAAGTGCACAGTAGAAAAGAATTGTTCAGTTTTCTGAGAAAGATGAATTTTTCTTCAGACATCAGGTTTTTTCAGAAATGTAGTGGGTGAGGCTTGCTTATGTTCTTTCCAGAGTCAGTCTCTTCTGGCATTAGCTTTCCTTGAGGCGCTTACTCCGATATGTAGGAACGATACATCAGAGCCACAATAATTGCTGCTACTGCTGGGATCACCCAGTTGGACCACGAACTAGAAAGAAGTTTTTAGAAATCTCACTTTAGAAATTGTCACCAGCAAATCTTAAAAAGGTTAAGTGAAAACTGGTTAGCAGAGTTGCACTGTTTTTGTATGGCCACCAACACTTTGAAGTTAATTCAAATTACACTGATACCTTAGCCAAGTAAAATAGCTTGTAACTCTAGCACGAAGTACAGAGTACTACAGTTGTACTAGAGTTAAAACAACTTTGCTCAGAGGACAGTAAGGTGCTAGCCACACTTAAAGACATGGCTTGCTGCACAGAACAGGCTCATTCATTCAAAAGCCATTCTAACAGTCAGCATCACATGATGCTCTGGAATACAAGCTCACCTGCCCCTCCAAGGGGCCTGCAATAGTCCCCTGAGGGTTCAGTGTTAGGCTACACTGTTATCAGTGCATCAGCAGGACACTACTACTATACAGCTAGATTGGGTGGTGCTTACAGACATTTAAGTCTTGCCCCTCTTTCTGAGGCACTGTTCTTCATATTGCTTCTTAAATCTGTTACAAAAATGGCAGCAATGGCAGCAAGTGCCTTCTACATAAGTCAGCCAGTAGCCTCTGGAAAGGGAGGTTTAGGCAGAAAACACCATTTGGTAGAGACTGGCACACATTAATGAGAAAGTCCTCCCAGTAAGGTAACATCTAACAAAATGGTGCATAGGTAGCAGCTTGGACTTTACATAAAAACAATTTTCATGAACATCTTCTGACATCAAAGCTTCTACTAGGTGAAAACTATTCAGCTTTCAAAGCTTCAGAAATATTATCTTAAAGCACTTCAACTTTAACATCGGGAGTCATACCATACCTGGAATCAGACTGCACAGTGGTAATAAGAGTTTCCTGGAAAACAAAAACCATAAAAAAGTTTACATCAGGCAGATATTTTCCATCACTAACTAGCCACCAAGTTTCTCAATACTGACAAAATGGGACTAACTGCTGCCTTTTCCATATATAACAATTCTCAAATTTGATCTTCTGCATTTTACTGTTAAAAATTTCTGCAATCAGATGCAACACTAACAACTCAATTTGTTGCCTTTAGAAAACATTGTCTTGGGCATCTTGCAACTGTTGTGTTTGAAGTTAGTGAGCACCAGTATTAACCTGCTGTCTAAGCTTATAAAGTTCAGAAAAAGAAAGGAAACACCCCGACCTGCACCAGCTTCTGACACAAGCCTTTGGTGAAGTGTGCTTTACCTGCAGGTTACATCTTTGTTCCTAAAACAGGAGGCTGAGTTACTTTGTGGGGGTGCTGTTTGCATGTGTGGCATGGGGTGTTTCTTGAGGGTTATGATTGTCTGGTTCTTTATAGACAATCATTTCTTGTATACCTAAAATCTAATTGAAAATGTCTCCAAAGTAACACAGATATATTAGTTATGTGGAGCTTATGTGAAGCAAGTTACTGACAGATCTCTGGATGAAATGCAAAAGAGCAATTTGTTTAATACAGTATTTAAGATTGTAAAACAATTTCAGTCAAAATATTATTCTTTTTTATATTTTGCCTTTTTTTCTTTTCAATTACCACAATAAAAAGAACACTACTAAATTAAATCCTAGCTACATGCAATACATCTACGTGAAGATTTTTCATTTCCATACTAGTTGTACTAGGCCATAACTGCATTTAAAAGGTCTAAGACTAAAACTAGATCCATTGCTGAATATAGAATCGGAGTATTTATAAATCAGCTAGAGCGAAGAACTCTTCGGATCCCTTCATACAGTTTCAGCAGGCTGCTTTATCACATATAAACATATGATCATTTCGGTGTATTAAAAGATACCATCTTTAAAAGGACAGGCTCACAGTTACCTCTGTATTGGTTTTGTGGTTTGCTCCAAAGAGAATTCTAATCCCAAAATGGAGCAAGTTGTGCCCACCTCTAAGGCTAAAGCCTTTTGCAAGAGACTGGTGTTAATCCACAGGGCCAGAGGGTCCTCCCCATCTCCACCCCTCCGCACAAGCACTAAAGACAATAGGAAACACATGGGCCACTCAAAAATGAATTTTTAGCAGTATGACAAAAAAGCTGGCCTGCTTTAAATACAGCACAAGGAGAAGGGACATTTGAAAGCACCTGCCTCCTGAAGGCTGCTAGAAAGCCTGGGTACAGGAGCCTAGCTTACTGCTAGCACACATCCAGAGCGCAGTGGCACACAGAACTACCCCATCAGCTACACCCACCCTTCCTGCTGGAGAAAAGGGTCCCTGGCTCTCCAACAGAAACCTGGAGAACACCCAGGGCGTGCAGCTGACCTTAGACCACCGCAACACACAGCAACAATTCAAACAGTGTGGGAAGGGGTCATCCTGAGGCATCTGAAATCCAACTGACCATAGCTTGACCAAATTTCCAGGGCAGAGTATAAACAAGAGGTGGTATTACAATTTGCACAGGGCAATTTGCTTGCTGCTCTTGCAGCTTAAGCATTAATTGCCCTGAATGTAAGAAAAAATACAAATGTCAGATGCTATTCTTGATGGAAGACACTGACATACTGTTCCCACTCCATTTTCAAGTTTAGTATGTTACTTGCATTCCTCCATAAGTATATTTACTACAGTGAATATTCCAATGTTTATTCTTTACTTTCTTCCCTTTAACTTAAGAGACTTTACAGAAGTGATTGTTCTTGAAAGTAACCTCTTAAGGAGCACAAGCAAGAAGATCCTATTACTAAAAGGCTCCATTTTAAATTATGCTTCACTATTTTCCAAGCACACTGCTGTGCTGTTAAGCCAGCCCTGAGCAACATCCTTTATATACATGGCAGCAATAGGTGTACAAGCTAATTCCTCCTGCCCTTCCTCCTTTAAGAGAACTTTATGAGTGTAATAGCTGACTGCCAGAATAACCTTATTTGAAAAGAGAAAAAAACATTAGCTGCAAGGCAGTGTGATACTACTTTGCTAGGACACTGCCACCAACATCTGCTGAAACAGTCAGTATGTGAACAACACCTGAACCTTGAAAAAGTGTCACTAATGCTAGTTAAATAATCTATTTTGTAACAATTATTCATATACATTCTGTATCTAACACTGTTATCAATGTACTGTTATAGCAAAATAGTTCAGAATCAATGATTTTCTAGTATTCGGATTAAAGAAAAAAACACTTTACAGACAGGATGGTTAAACAAGTGTTTTAGAGAGGAGAAAGAAGAGACATGTAGTATTTTAGTGTAGTCCCACCACTTCACAGCCACCCCTTGCTTTGAAACCGCATAAGTTACAGACAAGACAGCACAGATAACAGGAATAACTCATAGCAAAGGCAGATCAACAGGTCTAACAGATTTATGACCTGAAACACTATCCTTAAAAATCAGCCTGAATTATTTTCACCTCTGAGGTAGAAACACCTCAAAGTGAGTGTACTGTGTATAAAGACATCACCTCTAATGCCTAGAAGTGATGTGATGTTTCAGGAAAATACTTACTGCTGGTTTCTGAAGCTTCCATCTATCATCCTGTGGAAAAATAAGGAAAAACACTTAGAGAAAGGGGGGAAAAAAAAAAAAAGCATTCAAAACCTCATTTATCATTAAAGTCAGGTCACAATTCTATTGTGCTGATGCATATCTATTCCTTCTTAGGAAAGATATTTACAAAAGATACAATAAAGAAATGAAACCACTCTAGCACATTTCACTATTTCTTACACCCATGTCTTTGTATCTCCTTAGCCTCTAAGCAGTACACACCCTTAGCTTACATACACATTACAGTAGTACCAGTTTACCTCTGCCTAGTCTGCTTGTATCATGGACAAAGTTGTCTAACTAGTACTGATCCAACACAAAAGTCTAACTCTATGGCTCTGGCATAAGCTCATTCAATTTTCCAACTAGCAGAGAAATTCATTATAAAACAGGCAGTGTATCATCTTGATAGTGTTGTAGTTGTACATAAGACTATCAACTGCTTACTTCCTATCATATAAAAGCACGTGCTTGTTTGCTAAGAAATGAAGATTGGTAGCTAGGGTAAGAAGAAGAGTTTTAATATGCCAGTCATGAGCAGAAAGATTACAAGTTTATTAGGTTATAAATATGAGGTAATTCAGGCCTGATGTGTATCATGAGAGGCTACAGTGTTAATGGCTATCAAAATACAGCTTTAGATGTATACAGGATCAAGAATTTTACTGTGAAACGCACTACTCAAGACTGCTCAAGGATATTTACCCCAAAGGCAAGACAAACTCATACACAAAACAAACAGAAGAGGCAGTGACGAGCTATAGTGCTAACACTAGTGGTTTTCAACTACCAACATGCAGGAGAATATAGGAAAAGGCAAGTCAGGAGGAAGCAAAGGCAAAAGTCTCTAGCTAAGGGATAGAAATAAAACCTTTGAAGCTTGAGGAAGGAAAAAAGGTGCTTGTTAAAAATGTAGGAAGTTGCAAGGAGAAAGTAGAAAAAAGCTGACACAAGAACTAGTGGTAACCACTGAACAGCCTTGACAGCTTCAAGCATGTAATGGTGATACTGCACAGAACAGAGGTGTCAGACTGAGACAAACGAAGCATCAGACAATAAGGAAACTGTTACAGCAAAGAAGTGTCTAGGCAGACACATGAAGACTCAGACTGCACTTGCAGATCCAGATGGAGGCCTGATATACATATTTACAGTGATGAAAGCATAGAAGGGACTGTTAGTAATCACTCTGCACATTGAGGTATCTTTAGAAAAGGCTTACACATACTCTGACATACCACCTTTAACGTCTTATGTCTTGCTTTACCGCTGTTTTTATAGAGCTCATAGGTCAGAAATGATTCCTACTCTGTTTATTAAATAACCAAGCTGAAGCACATTTCAAAGCAGCAAATCTACACGTGACCACTGCTACGGTGTATTAGTCAGCTGCTGAAGACAGATCCTACCAATCTCGAGCCCAATAAAGAACTGCAGGGCTGGCAAAGAGCCAGGCTATCAACTCTCCCTATTTCAAAATCAGTCCCCAGAGAAGTATCTGGGGACAAGAGCACTGCTGTACACAGCAGACACCTTACATACTCACCGGATGAAGCTCCCCAATAATAAATGTCTCTGACAGTCCCCTTGCATCTGTGGAGTGGCCAACATCTTCAAAGTTCTCAGTAGCATCTCCCCCAGCCTGCTCTCTGAGGACCTCTTCACCTCCTGGGTGCTGCAATTCAGTTAGTGTTGAATTTGTTAGTGGAAACAAAGCTATTTTGGCAATTCTAAAAAAAAAGAAGTTTGACCTTGCAAAAAGTCATTGAATTTACTTTAAAGCAAATACCACCTCTTTAAATAACTCTAGGGCATTATACATTCTCAGAAGTCAAAAAATGCAGTCTCCCCTCCACCAGTGGCTGATCAGCATAAGACAATGCCGAGAGCAGCTGCAGAAGCATTTACAAACTAGCAGGAGTTGTACTCTCTTCTCCCATCTACAGGAACTCTATGCATTTCAGACAAACAAAGCTTTATACAGAAAAAGGATAAAAGTCAAGAGGCATCAGCTGCAGCAAGCAGCATTCAAACTACATAGAACGAAGTTATTCACAAGAAGAATGATCCAACACCAAAACAAGTTGGCCAGAAAACCTGAAGGATTTTCATGCTTGAACCAGGCCTAACTTAATACTACTTTGAGCAGCACGTTGGGCCCTTACAAGGGTGCTTTACAACAGAAGTTACTGCATGACTTCATCCCGTAATCCAGCTACTTTGAGCTGCTTTAGCACCACTGAAAATTCTTACAAGACACTACATTAGCTTAACACTTGGTTTTAGCTGACTGTGGAATCACAAGACCACACTGCTGACAAACCATCACGATGGAAAGGAGTAGCTCTCCTAGCATCTCCCATTTCCTCAACCCATTACCCTACCTTTAATCTAGATCCCTGCTACCGATTGACTTCTATTCTTCCCCCAGATAGATTTTTGTAATTGTGCAGTTTCACAATCAAGTAACTCAGTATATAGCATAAGATATACCATACTTTGTAGTTCCATTAATTTTCTAAGTGCTAAGTTACTCACATAAATAACATGCTAAAAAGTTTGTCACTCGACTTAGAAGTGGGAAACTACTCCGTAAACAGCAGTACTGATTAGATAAGCAAGCTGAAAACATGTTAGTAACAGGGCCTTGCAGTGCAGCAGGAACAAGGCAAGTTCTGACACTTTACAAATGACAGAAGGTGACAAACATGCTAAACCCTCTACCCTCTAGCACACTGCCAAGACAAATATGTACAGCCTCATGATCACTTAAAACTGATCATGCTGCATTAGACACTGGAGATGAGGAGGAGTAAAAATAAATAAAAACAACACAAGACTGCTGTTGTTTTTATTTATCAAAGCTTCTAATTACTTCCTTTGGTGCCTTTATTCTGTTTTTAAGCACTTCTGATGACTAAGCCTAGAACTATAAAAATAAGCAAATCCCCCATATTGTTTGTGTTCAGGTATACTCCATGCAAGATGTACAAAAAGGTTAACTTACACAGCACATGAACTGAAGAAGTGTGTGAGCATGAGCACTTCTGCCAGTCTAAGCAATTCAAATTAGCATTTACTTCAAATCCTCTGTATTTACCTCTTAAACTTCCCATTCCTAAGGAAATAATTCTTTTTCACACTCATCAAAAAACACTAAGAATTTTCAACTGTGCCAAAGCTCTAAAACTTGTAACAATCCTTTCAAATGCAGTTCTCTTCCCCTACACCCTTCTTTAAAAAGAAGGCTGCAAATACTGGGAGCTTCCCCCTTGCCGCCCACCAAAACAGTTAAAAGCACTGGTGATCCCCACTATGACTAAGCAAAAGCAAAGAGATTAAGCAATTGCTAAAAGGAGAGATTACACACAGCAACTGAGCCAAAAAAGGTTAGAAAAGTGCGTGCAGAATAAAGATTATGCAAGCAGACATGCAGATATGGCATGCAGACCAAAATCCTGCCCTTGAATCCCTTCTGGTAAGTGTTCAGGGAAAGGACAGGACCAAAGTTGAGAAAGTGTCAGATTGCAATGCCTTGAAGTATATAGTACATTACAGAAACTGAGCTAATCTCCCAGATACAATTTTTAGACTTAATTATGGCAGTATCTAGAACATTCTTCTATGCCACACTGTTGAAATGTCTTCCCCAAGCCAGAAGAAGTTACTCGCCCAGGCATGAATTGTGCTGTATCAGCCATTATGTATTACACTAAAAGGATTATCTTGAAATACATGTTGCTTCTTAAGCAGAAGAGGAGGCAGAGCTCCTTAGAAAACTCACTTAACAAGCAAGGCATTCACAGCAGCAACATGAACCAAAATTACACCACTCATGGTGCACTAGAAGCGTGTACATCCCTGTCTGTACATTGCCATGAACCATGCCTCACTCACAACAGCAAATACAACACCAGCTACTCCAGCAAAGCGTCAGAGCACATGTACCTTCCTCCCTCTAAGAAAATAAGGCAGAGGACTCTTACTAGCATAACTTAAGTCTATACCAAATCAGCCATTTCACAGCCTGCTTTAACAAAGCACTTGCAGACAGCTGCCTTGGCATTTTCCATGGTTTGATAAATCTCTCGAAGTCTGGTTATATTGGGCCCTTGTTCACACTTCCATGGAAGCACACAAAGCTTGCTACCCGAAGTTCTACTTCGCTGAAGAGACCCTTGCTGGTCCCTGGAACCAAAAGTCCACAAAATGCAGAGCTGACCACTCCTAAATCAAAAACCTGCTGATAGGTGGAAAAACACTTTAGTTGTTTGTAAAACTTGGGCTTGAAGAAAAGGAAAGAGCTTTTGCTAATTAAGCTAGTCTAGCTCATTCCTAGGACATTCCCAAACATAAGAACATAGTAAGTTATATAACAGAAGGCTGCACAAAGCCAGCAAAAGTGTAACTATAAATTAATTTCTAATGTGCTGCTGTTAGGACTGTGTAAACTTCAGATAATGCAACTGCACAGCTATACTCACTGTTGTCATCCAGGTCAAAAGTCTAACTACTTCATTCTGAACTCCTATCACCTCTTCTCCCCCACTCCTTTGCTCTCCACATAGTCATATAACTGTGTCACAGTTCAAGACTCTCTTAAACTATAACTATCTTAATTCACTCTCTTCCCTCCACATCTGGACCCTAGGGTCAGGTTTAATTTTCAGGGAGATTGGCACAGTTCACAACCAGTGGCAGCCCCAAGCACGACACTTTGCACAACAGGGTATCAGAAGCAGAAAGGAACAGTGGTGGAGGCAGAAATATCCTGGGAATCTTAAGCTTTATTGTGCAAGACAGACAAACAACATATTTGCTTCAAGGACACTTTCATGTGGCAGGAAGAGTCCCCATAAAGCATATCCTATCAACTACCAACATTATAGGAAAATTCTATACTCAGTTTTAGGAGTAGCTATTTGATGACCCTGTATTTTTGAAAGTGGTTATTATGATTTCAGATGAAGTGCTAGAGAAACACCCTGTAGCTCAGCAACTACTCCCCTGCTTACAAAACTATTGTAAGCTTATAATGTTTTGCAAAACAAATGCGATGCTAGAAACTGCTGTTCCTTCTTCCCCCCTCCTCCCAAAATATTCTCAAACCCTCCTGTAAGTTTCACTGCAATATTAGAAAGTGACAACACTGATTTAAACCTTTGCACATCAAGCTCTGCAATTGACAGATTATATACCAGGCTGTTAGTGACACCTCTAAATGTAAATGATTAGTTAAACTTAGGAAATTCTACACTATTATCCCATAGTATGATAACATCAGACAAACACAATTTATCACTGTAATGTGGAAAAAAACATTTTACAATGCCATCTGGTACAATAAAACCTTGTTCTTTTCTACACCTAATAGCATTTTTATTTGATCAGCACTTCCAGAACACATCTTATGAGAGCTGTCCATCCTCTGTTCAAATATACTCCCATGAAAGCTCAAGCTCATAAAAAAAAATCTAAATTGGCCATTTATGGTATTTTCCTCTACACAAACTGCACTCCCAAACAAACTTTCAAAGCCACCAAAATAACCCTCACCAAAAAAAAAAAGTCCTCATTAGAGGTATATTAAGTGCATATGCTGGTTTGTTTCCAGAAAGCAGGCTTTCTTGGAAGTAGAGACATTCGTATTTATGTTACTTTCTCTGCTTAGTTTAAGTAATCCAGCCAAGTCCCACAGAGACATTGGGAAGAATCTCACTACAGGGGTAAGTAGACCAAGCCACTGATAACTTTCTTCTTATTTTTATAGGGCAAGCTCTTCTTGTTCAGACTCTGATGTCAATATGAGGAGCTGAACAACAGGATCGCTTTACTAAGCTAAGGGAAGAATAACATCAACCAACCAACATACTTAACCCACCAAATGTCATTTAGTTTTGCTTTTATGAAAGAATTATCTTTACTATAGTCACTACAGCCACAAGATTCCAATGTGAGAACACATGCATTCTCAGTAACTGTATTCCTTCAAACATGTAAGACCTGAAACTAAGTTCTCTGTAATACTGGTCCAACAGCCTTTGACCCAAAAAGGCTCAAAAATACTGTTTCACAAAGAGCTTTCAGATACTATAAAAGCTGAAGTCTTTGGATTCTCTCTCTTACACGGTATACTTTCATAAACAAAATTCGGATATATATTCAAGTTAAAAAACTTGATCCTGAGATCTGCTGTTTCAAGAAAACCAGTTGTTAAAGTTTTCACCTTTAGCAATCTTTAGGATAAGCTGACCAATCATCACTTCATCTGTATTTTGAAAGATCTTTTCTTAGCCTGAGGACAAGGCTTATGTTGTCACCCTACATACCAACATCCACGCTGCCTCAGTCCCTACCACTTGCTCAGGGAACACACGCGCGCACACACACACACACACACACACTCCACTTTCAATGAAGTGCTCCTAGAGGCTGAGGGCTCCCAATAACAGCCAAGCTGCACTAAGGAACAACAAGCTTTATGAAAGGCAAACAGCTGGTTAGAGAAAACATCCCTCTCGCCCCACCCCCCACTCAAGCCATGTAGCACAGGGATAAGCAGCACTTGTGTATTAAACACAAGAGAAGTCAGCATAAACTTAAGAACAGCTGAAATGCTGTAAAGTTTAAGTTCATAATCCTGAAGAGAACATTTCCTTAGGTTAGGGCAGGAGCTAGAAAGACTACGTGTTTAATTAAGAAATGGGACTCCCGATGAAGGCAGTTTTTGTTCACAGCTCCACACTCACTAGAACAGTGGCAGTGCTACATAACCTTCTCCTTTGGAAGAGCAGCGGGAGCGCGGCGATGCCTTAGCGGCACTTGCACTGAAGTGCTACTAGACTTTTAGTAAGAAACATTTAATCCTCGGTACAGCTTAAGCTTTTCTACTCCCATAGGAATCTGCAACAAGTGAGGCCAAGTTTGACTAACAGCACTATTAAAACCGCTTGTGTAATTCACACTTCACTGAGAGCAATTTACAATACCAGCATTTATAGAAACTCCACTATCTCTTTACCTATATTGTGTGTAAATCCGTCAAGGTGTCTGACGGCCAAGGACACATTACCACATCACTTCATAAATTAACCACATATCAAAAGGATTCAGGAAAAGGTGGGAAATAAGTTATTGCCCTATTAAGTCCTTTCATGCAGGAGTTCCACTCTAGGACTCGCTAACACAACACATACTACAACACTCCAAACCTTCACTCAAAATGAAGCCGCACTATTGAGGACTGCTGAGGGAAAACAAACAAAAAAGATGTTATCTGATCTTATTCATTTATTATCTCAGAACATCAGCACTCCCGTTCAAGGTTCAGCTCCAAAGACAATATTAAAAGCTGCCCAGTTCAATAACAGAATTTGATCCACACGTATCACAGAGCTTCAGACATGGCACTGTTGCTCAAATAACAATTATAATCAAGTCTAGTTATGGAGGGGCTAAACTTTTTGATATGTTAGTAAACTGTCAAGTAGTATTCTACTTGAAGGCTTAAATACACTTTTTTGGAAAACTATGTATAAAACAGTACTTCTTAGCGTCTACCACCTTTATCACATATTCTGAAGGAAGAGGATGCGATGTTCTGTTGATAATTAGTAGCACAGAGAAGTTTGTTAGCTCTGTTGCTTTTTGTTGATTTTTAACTCTGTAGAAGAGCTTATAGCACTGCTGTGTACCAATGAAAATTGATCTAGTTTGGAAGAATAAGTTATTTCAATTTATTAGACTGCACAAATAATTCCATTTCTCTCCATGGCTTGGCCATTTTAAGCAAAATATGGATGAAGATAACCCATAAAAAGAGGGGTTTATTACTAAAAGTGCTTAATACCATTAATATCAAGATGGGGCTATAAGCAGTCACATAGGCTTGATTTTTAAAGTGTCATTATCAAAAGTCTTTCTCAAGTTAATAAAAAGCTGTAACAATGATTTTTTAACTGGATGCTACATCATTGTCAGCTTGAAATAACAGAAGAGAGAAAGAAACCTCAAAAAAGAAAAAGGACGAATAAATCCTAGCTATACTTAATACCGAGGAAAAAAAAACTTAGTATTTGGCCTTCTAAATCTCCACAGGGAGGGGAAGAAGAAAAAAATGCTGCAACCCAGCCTGGGAAGCTACTCTATCTACCAATGATTATTACATTGGTTGCTTATTACATCTGATTGAGAGCCTCAGCTGGAAAAGCTGAGGCCCGCAGCAAGAGCGCACACTCCAGAGGCGCTGGGACTGCTTCACTACAGCTTCACCACACTACATGTTCAGAGCCCTGCACGCTAAAATCGCTGTAAAACCACAAAACCCGTGGAGAATATCGTTTCTGATAAAGGTGGAAGATTTAAGGGGGCAGGAGAAGGAAGCTAATGTTATTGGATTCTAGCCAAATAAATTAGTTCTGAGAGCTCAGGAGAAGGGAGGTCTCCAGCGTCCAAGCTTTGGCAACGCAGAAACTGGGGGAAGAAAGTGTCCGAAAGCAGCCCAACAGCCGAGGCCTTCGGGCGAGCGCGAGCGCAGGCGCCTGCAGGCCCAGCGCGACACCCACCTCCTCGAGGAACTTGGTGACGTCGTAGATGCGGTTGTGCAGGATGAACCAGGCACTCTGGCTGTTGTTGTGCTTCTGCACCTCCTCGAGGCGGTAGTAGCGGCCCCGCCACGACTCGTTCCCGCTTCCTCCGGACCCCACCATCGCCCCAGCCCAAGAGTCCCCCGCGCGCGGCGCCCGCCGCCTCCGCGCCTGCTATTCACCCCCCGCGCGCGCGCTCATTGGAGCCCGCCCCGCAGCCTATCGCCGCTGTCCCCGCTTGGCCCGCCCCCTGCGCCGCGGCTTCTCATTGGCTCAGCGGCGCGCTCCTCACAGGCGGCCTTAGGCCTGCCCGCATATGATTGGCGGGGTCTGCGCAGCGCCTCGGTCCGGGGGCGTGGTCGGCTGTTAAACGGTGTCCGGTAACGGCCCAAGGGTCGTTTTGCTGTTCCCTAGCGCTGGGGGTTCTGCCCGTTGCTCGGCAGTTGAACTAGGCCGTTTTGTTTGGTGATCTTGAACGTCTTTTCCAACCATGGCTACGTTCGTGCACGACTCTGTGCCCCGTTTGTGCGCACTAGCGGGCAGGCGGGCTGTGACACGAGTTACCTAGCGGCCGCTCCGGTCAGTTTTCAGCGGCTCGGGGTTGCGGCTGGTAAAACGGAGCTGCTCGTCGCGCTGTTGTTAGGTGCGCAGTATTTCGGCCCTTGTGCAGTACTTAGAGTTAACCCGAACTGCGTGCGTACGGCTTCACTGAAATAAAAGATGTTCGTGGGTTTGAACCCCAGGCGAGGTTTAGAGCCCCAAAGCGCCCGCTGCGCCTTGCCAGGTTGTCCTCCGGGTTGTTACCGCGCCCTGAACCGGGCAGCGAGGCGGCGCTGAGGGGGGCGCCCTCGTTTTGCTGAGCTGCCTTCACCCTCGGAGCCGCCCTCACCCCCGCGGGCCGCCGCTGGCTCTCGGCCGGCGCAGGTGCGTTTAGCTGCGGCGGATCAAGCACAGGGCGGCGCTGAGCTCACTTACGTGAGCTTCACTTGCAACAGGGACCCGCGCCCTCTGCAGCCGGAGGCTACCTCGGAGCACGCTCACAGCCCACGCATGCAGAACAGCTGCGCGTTGCTTCGCTCTCTCCCAGCTGCGAAAACACTTCAATGTTAAGGGAAAAAAAAATGTGGCCGTGCTTGCGACACAGCCGCTTTCCCAAGCAGCTTCGGCGCTGCTCCCGCGACGCCGTCACTC